GGGCGATGCTCGGAACTGCTTGGTGTTCTCCTGAGCTGTGGCTTCTTGGCTGAAGGGATTTCTGTACATGGCAATGACAAGAACCCTAGCCCGTAGCGAACCAGAATGCAGGCATTGCACACCACACGTTCTTTCCACAAGGCTTGAAACAAAAAGGAATGTTGAAATCGCCAGATCCCCGTACTTCACCCTAAGGCCGATAAGGCAACCCCAAGTGCCCCTCGCCAACTGGCCAACTGGAGTTCCACGCTCTCCTAGATGCCACTGAGTCACTTCACCCAATGCACAGCTGTACCGCAGAAAGGACCGGAATGCAGCCACAAAACCAGGGTTTAGGGTTGCACCACAACTTTCTCGCACCACGTCAACTTGTGATATCCAACCCTAGACTCTCAGATGCACTGATGAAAGACCCGAGAAGACACTTTGAACCATCGTTCACCCCAGTTTGTACAAACCCGACTCTCTAGACACACGCCTCATGCCTGATCGCATCCGAGACAGAGTCCTTGTATCCGGAAACAAAGAAACCCTCAAACCCGAAAGCCTCAAAAGCCTACGATGAGCAGGACAATCCACAAAACGCCTAAAGCACCCTAACCCCCTTAACACAAACCCAAACCCCTAAACCCCTAGAACTCTGAAGCCCGAAACCCAGAACTCCTGGTCCCGAAGCCCAGTCTCTGCCAAAAGCACCGTCAGCTGGCGGGATGCCTCTCGAGCCAAGGCCTGAATACCAAGGTTTAGGGACTCGGCTTTGGGATTTACGGTCTAGGGCTAGGGCTTCAAACTTTAGGGGTGCGGTATGCTACTCAGATACCTGGCAGCATTCCTAGCACTTAAGGCTGTATCTATACAAGGGCCCATGTGGTGCTCTACTAGACAAGAACCATGGCTCGGGCCCAAGGCCTGTATCAGGTTCCGGCATGTCTTGTTCAGCTTTCGCGCCCTAGGTCCCGGAGATCGATCCGATGGAGTACAAAGCGGAACTCCTTCAATCAGAGCCTACACCTAGGGCACACCCAAGTCAAGCTGCACAGCTAAAGCCCAAGACTCGGAAGAAGCCGCGTCCGGAGCAGAAAAATCAACACAGCCTTTAAGCCTCAGCCCCATAAGGCCTAAACTGTCTGGTGCAGAGTATGGGAACGGGAGAACGGGAGTATGGATCCCTATAGTAGTCCCTATATGATCCCCAATTATAGTCTCCATGCTCCATTCCCCCCCATTCCCTACTAAGAACCAAACACTAAACCTGCAAGGCCCAACCCCTCGGTAATGCAGGGTTCATATCATCAACCCTCAACCCGAAACGCCCTAAACCACCCTATAAATCCCTTAATTAAAGGGACCCGTTAACGGGACCCTTATAGATCCTTTTAAACGAACCCTAGGCCCCGCCCAATCCGCAAACCCGGAAGTCTGCAGCCCCCGCGTGGGGAACTTAGGGCGTGGCCTGGTTTCGCTGCAGCTCCTCGTCGCTTGCGAAACTCCCAGCCTCGGCAGAGTAGGCCAGAGCTTTATGGTGACCTGATTGTGGATAAGAATGTACAGTAGTTGGTTATAATGTTAATATCTTGCAGTACATATTGCTGCAATATGCTATGTACAACACTTAACACATAGTGTTATAATGTTCAACTTAATGCATTCTGGCCTTTCGGCTGGATCCGAAAAAAGGTTTTCGGGAATTAGCGCGCAGAGCTTTAAGGTGTCGGGTGTTTGAGACCTTCGGTGCTCTTCCCGATATTGCAGGCTCTTTCTCGTCAAGGAGCCGCGAGAAGCCCGAGTTATGCTCTGTCATCGCGGCAATGATGGACCGGAGCCATTCCCTGAGTCAAGATAAGGCTTGGAGATTTCAACCTCTGAGGTTTAGGGTTGATCTCGGGTGAGAAAAGCTCCAAAAGCTTCGGGTCTGAGGTTTTGGGCTCTCCGAGATTCACCTTGAAAGTTTCTCGCTCAATGCTCTCGGGGCACCACACCCGAAGCTGCAAATCTTCTGATCTTCCAAACTTTTCAACCAAGTGTTGACTGAAGATAATCTGTTTAATGAACACCAGGCTCTGCTGAGTCGTGTTGCTCCATCTCGGTGGAGGCTGAAACCCTCTCGTGACCGCCAAATAAAATCAAATAAACACGTGTTTACTCGGCGCTAAGGCGGTGTATCTGTTGCACGCAGTGTAGGAGCCAGAGTAACTACCAGTGATCAATATACAACCGCAAGCCCTATTCCAAGTCTTAGGGGCGCCTAAACCCTAAACCTCCCCATGACTGGTCTGAGCCACGTGGTGCTTGCGATCTGCTCGCAGGACACGTCCGGTGCTGGATCAGCGCTGAGCTCCTGGCGAGGGCTCACTAGGTTTAGGGATTTTGGGTACAGGTTTTAGGGTTCATGTGTGGGTGTCACAAACCTACGGCTGCAGAATGAAACGCTTTTGGGTACCTAGCAGCAGAAGCTTCGACCATGAGCGAAAACACCAAGCTGCCCACGAACAAGTGCCACAAAATGTGCAAAAATGGTAAATACCTAGACCCTCCTTCTACCGTCTATTCGACCCTTAATACCCACTATTCGGGACCACGTACCCAGCCATTGAGGGTACAAGACGGGTCCTCATACATAGTTGCAAGTAGATTGCATACTAACATATCTTCCATGCATCAAAAAGCCGATCTCACCTGCATGCCATGATTGCTGAGCCGCTTCGTGACACCCATGTGGTGCGCCTCTTGCAAAGACATGGCCAGCCCGAAAAAAACAGCTTGGTCCATGTGCAGAACCCTGGTCGGTAGTATTATAGGTGCCTTAATAATTCGACTAGGGTTTTGCGGCCCATTTACGATAACTGTAATAAGGAGGCCCAAAAATATAGTATAGGTACTCATTGAGGCTCCTATATTCCCCCCCCCCCCCCCCCCATCATATCCCGTATAGCAACCTTAATAGGACCCTTTTTAAGAACCCTACAAGGGAGCCCGAAACTGTTGTAAATTTTTATTTGGATCTCCACCAGAGACTCGGACTCTAGGCCCAAACCCTTGAGGGCTCATGAACCTGCCTTCGTGATCGTGCTGCGGATCTCCTGCGGAACTGTGTGGGGTGTGTGAAGTTTATAGGGGTTTCGATCTTGTGAGAGCACAACGGAATGTGAAGTTTTGAGACCTGAAAAGGGACTTGGCCGGGACAGCGACACTTCTAGCGGCAGCAGGATACTGGCACCAATCTCAACCACAGCGAGAGACCACGACGACGACAATGACGAGGACAACGACGACTTACTGTTGTCGGTGTCTTGTGCGCTGTTGCGGAAGGCTCAGCTATGTTGCGACCGTCTACTTGGAAGACTTGGGTACCAAATTGATCGCGGACAGAGGAACTCTGAACTTCTCACTGAAAACACTTGCTTGCACGCCTCGAAAGACGTCGACAATGGCTTGAGCAGATTTGGTGTGTCGCCGACAAGGGCACCGGTCGTGGTGATGACGCTCATCGCGAGGATTTCCTATTCGATCCGCACCTCCAGCGCTACCTTGAGCAAAGCTTCCGAATGACCGAGGACGAACCAGGATTGTGAGGCAAACAATGGCTGAAGTGACGTAGCTCAAAATGCTGCAATCACTGCTGCTCCCGTTGATGTTATAGAATTAACTATTTGCATGATCAACAAGCGTCAGAACCTTTCACTGGTTCTACCTGAAAAAGACCTGCACGAATCACGAAAAGCATGCAAGTGCGGGTTTCCAAACAAAGGGCACCCTAATATAGCACCCTAAATAGTAGGATCCGTATGATTAGGATCTCCAAATAAGGTACCCCCTGTTGTCGGAAACTCCCAAGTCATGCCAAACGGAAAAACATGGACAACGCTCGTTGCGGAGATGAACTCATGGGCGCTCTCGCCCAGCCGGAACCCGAAGAATGTAATGTAGGGGCCTTAAAAATAATGGGAATTATAATAGGGTTTTGGGGTATGTTGTACTATACCAAAATAATGTAAGCCAGTATTTCGGCCCTTCTAGTACACTCCAACCCGAACACACAAAAGGACTCGAAACCGTGGAGGACACAGGTTAATCTGCGAAAGACCCAAAAAAATTGAGGGATTAGGATTCAGGGCAAATCCAGGCAAAAACTCGAAACAAAGATCACACGACACCCCTGGCTACTAATGCTGGTTCGGTCGGCAAGAATTTTGGCATGTGTAAACTTTGGTGACATGCGGCCACTTCTTTGGAATCACTCGATGAGTGAAACGGACCTGCAAACATCTATGGTCTCCTGGAAATATTCGCCGAGATCGACACTGGGGGAAGGAATACACGAAGCTGCTCAAGAAAACCGCAAAGGACGGCAATGCGTCAGCACGCCGCCGAAATCTACAAGAACCTGGACCTTCTGGCCAACAACAGCGTCGGTATCGAGGCGAACTGGAAACTGAGGCTCCAGAGGTATGTGCGCTTCCAGAGTCAGAGAAAAGGAGGGAGGCAATCCACCGGTTCGCGGTTCACCTACCCTCGAAACGGATTGTGAGCGATTGGCAGCCACAGCTGGTTGAGCTGGTCATTGCAATAGTACATGTAGACGTTGTCCTGCTTAGCATCCGTTTACTATAGGGGCCTTAACAACCAGAATACGGCCCATGATACCATAGTTGAAGAATCCCCACACTAGCATAGGTAATTATTAAGGCCCCTAAGTAAAGCTTTACCGGGCGGTGCTTAAGGGGGGAACCTCGGACCGGATGCTGTCCTTCTCGTAGCGGGCCTCCACGTCCCAATCCAAGCAAAGGAGTAGCCCGGGGCTGCCATCCTTAGCGGCCCTTAGAACCATGTAGGGTTTGGGGTTCCGGGTTTAGGGTTTCATATTCTTAAGTTGTATCCTGACACACATAAACCATAAATCCTAAGAGCATTAAAGGCTCATCTTCAAGCAAATGGATGGTCCTCTCTGCAAGTATCGTGAACTTCTGCTCTAGCTTTGTGCTGTCACACGGGGCGAGTAC